TTCTTTCTCCATGAATCTATAAATGTATCTATTAAATTTGAGAAATCATCAGGAACTGTATCTTCAAAATATTTTTCTTTTGGTCGCACCACATGGTTTTCAGGATCTCAGTTCCCTGACCAGGGATTGAACCCAGGCCACAGAAGTGGAAGCTTGGAGTCCTAACCACTAGGTCACCAGGGAACTCCCTCTCTCTGAATATTTTTATGCCCCATTCTTTCTCTTTTCTTTTTCTAAAATTTGAATGACATGTGGTATGTAGATCTTTGAATGTTGTCCCACAGGTCCATGAAACTCTGTATAATGTTTTCCAGTGATTTCTTTTTCTCCCTGGTCTTAAGGATGGATAATTTGTGTTGATCTTTCTGCAGATTCACTCTCTCCTTTGTCATGTTCATTCTGCTACTGAACCTATCAAGTTAATTCTTCATTTTGGTTACTGTACTTTTTACTTCTGGAATTTCCATTTGATTTTGTTTTAATAGTTCCAGTTCTCTGCTGAAGTTCCTCATCTGTTCCTTCATTATGACTATATTTGGGGGGGGCGGAGTTTGAAAATATTTCTGAGTTGCTTTAAAGTTCTTGATGCTAATTCTAACATCTGGGTCATCACTTTTTCTCTTTGAGATTGAGTCCATTTTCTATTTCTTCCTATGTCTAGCACTTGATTTTACGTGCTGGTTATTGTCAATGATACATTGTACAGACCCTGGATTCTGTTGTTTCTCTCAAGAGTGTTAATTTTATTCTCTATGTGAGAGACAGTCATTCAGGTGGTGCAGCGGTAAAAGAATTCACCTGCCAATGCAGGAAATGCAAGAGATGCAGGTTTGATCCCAGGGTCTGGAAGTTCCCCTGGAGGAGGAAATGGCAACACACTCCAGTTATTCTTGCCTGGAAAACTCCATGAACAGAGGAGCCTGGCAGGCTACAGTCCATGAGGTCACGAAGAGTCAGACACGACTGAACCCACACACACACACACAAATATTCTGATGAAACTACTTGGCCATTACCACCCCTTATATTCTTTAACACTTTTATTAATCAGGGTGTCCCCTTACAGTCAGTATAACTAGCCCCCTTTATTAAATTGAGGCTTTGAAGAAAGTGAACCCATTTGTTCAAGGTCACATACCTAGTTCACAGCAGAGTCACAATTTGAAAACAACCAAATGACATAACCGTATCCTCGATCCACTTCACATCCATTCCTAAACATCTTCAGGATGGTTTGGATTCCAGCCTAGAGTCCACTGGAATTGGGAAGAAGTCAGCTCCCTCAAAACCCCCATTCAGGGTAGGGCAATAGTTTTCAAGCCAAATCAACAGAATCATTTATTTACAAAACTGAAAAATAAGGGTGCTAGGCTCCATTTACTGGCTCCATTTACCCCTCCAGCAGTAGGTACTAAGAATCTACATTTTATACTGTTTCCCGGTGGTAGTTTTTCCGTCAGTGACACAAGGCTCATGGGATCTTAGTTCCCCAACCAGAGATCAAACCTGAGCCTCCCACAGTGGAAGTGAGAGTGTTAACCGCTGAAACGCCAGGGAAGTCCCTGTTTCCTTATGATTCTAATGCCCAGTCAGGGTTAAAAATCCCTGTGGTATGGGAATTCCTTGGTGGTCCAATGGTTAGGACTTGGCGCTGTCATGACTGTGGCCTGGCTTCAGTCGCTGGTGGGGGAACTGAGATCCCTCAGGCCACGCAGTCAATTAATAAATCCCTCAGATAAAGGCAAAGTACCTCCCACAAGTATTCCTTTTCTTCTGTAGCTCAGGACTCTGACTTTCGCATCATGCTTCACCTGGATAGTGACAGTGGTGCTGGGGTTAAGGCTGAGGGCTCTCAAGTCCCTCCCTTTAGGGGCCCATGTCCTGGCTCTGTCACCTGTTAGCCAAGTGACCTTGGGCGGCTGACCTGACCTCTCTGAGCCTTTTGCCTTCTTTCCTCTTAAATGGAGATGATGACAGCAGCAACCTCATGAGGCTGTTGTAAAGATTCCATGAGATAATGCACATGATGTATTTTGTGCAGCACCTGACACCTGTAAACACTCCATGGAGAGTAGCTATTATGATAAACATCCTCAGCTTTTCTGCTGCCTGGAGCTCTGTCCCGTCTCCTACCTAAATCCAACTTACAGAGTTAAACCATATCTATAACTTCTAAGGTATTTCAAAATCCTTCTTTCCCCAAAGTTAACCCAACCTCTATCTTTGCAACTGATCCATCCCCACTGATGTCCCTCTGCTCTGGAGCAAGAAAGTTGTTTTTTGTTTTTTGTTTTTAACTTATCCAGGTCTTCATTTGGGTGAGCAAAATGAAATTGCCTCAAGACATGTACGATCTTGGCTCCCCAACCAAGGATTGAACCCACTTCCCCTGCATTGGAAGACAGAGTTTTAACCATTGGGCCACCAGGGAAGGCCCAAGAAGCATTTTAAATTGAGCCCAGAGCCTGGAAGTGCTTCATAGAATGGACTCAGATACCCTCCGCCTCAGCTTGTGCTCTTTCTTACCTAAGATTGGCACCTCCTAGGCCATGCCCTCTGCATGCATGGTGGTAAAGAATCCATCTGCCAATGCAGGAGACTTGGGTTTGATCCCTGGGTCAGGAAGATCCCCTGGAGAAGGAAACAGCCACCCACTTCAGTATTCTTGCCTGGAAAATCCCATGGACAGAGGAGCCTGGCGGGCTACAGTCTTTGGGGTCGCAAAGAGTCAGACAGGACAGAGCAACTAAACCACCGCCATCACCAGGCCATACCCTCACGTGAAGCCCTGAGTGGCAAGTCTGAATTCCAGAATGAGATGTGAAATTGCAAAACCAGGCTTAAACCTTTGAGACAAACCAACTTTGTTGCTGAGAGTCAGGCCTGAGTCAGTGTCCTAAGGAGAACCTGGGCCCGACCAAGAGGACCCATGGAAGGCAAGCTCCTGACACCCCATTTCTAGAAGCTGGCTGGGATATACAAAAGGACTCACCACCACCCTCGAAGCTGCCCCCCACCGCCCCCACCCCAACTGCTAGACTTCTCCTTAGGACTCCTCCCAGGGAAACTTTTCCTAGGTGGCACATGGCCCACCCCAGGCTGACTAGACACTCTGGGGGCTCTACCAGCAGCCAAAAGCATCTCACAACTTCCATTTCAGGTCAGGTCTATAGGTTTGATGAACACAGAGAACCAGAGGGGTTCTCAGAGGTGGGAATACTCCTGGGGAGAAAGGCAGGAGGATCCTCTTACTTATTGGGGGTCCTTAGGTGTCAGATGCTGCGCATCCTTTATCTGACCTCATCCACTGCAATATTGTCTGTTTTCCTCACCACTGAATCCCCAGGGCCTAGCAGAATAGACACTGGGTAAATATTTAATTACAGTAATAGTGAAATAGCTACCATTTATTGAGAGCTTATTATATGCCAGGTGCTTTTCAAAGGGCTTTGGGTTTCTTAAGTCACGCAATATTTGCTGGATGAAAAATCTGATAACTACTCTACAAGGCTAGACTCTTCCGAGTTTACAAATAGAGAAACTGAAAATGCAGAGGTAATAAATGGATGGGGACCAGGTTTTGAATCCAGAGAAAGGTGATGACCTGGGAAGCAAAAGGTCGGCGGGGGGTGGAGGGGGGCGGGGTGTCCCAGTTTGAGTGAATGCGATGGGGGTGCAAAGGCAGAAACAGAGTGGACTTTGAAGCAAGTGCTTCTGAGGGAGATGGAGCAAAGGGGGTGGGGGGTGGGAGGACAGCCAGGTGGTGGCCTCCTAGGGCAAGTGCTCTGGATGTGGCAAGACAGCCCAGGCCACGCCCCTAATAAATGCTAATATCATGTCCCCCAAAACCACACCCCCTGCCCATAGGAAGGGGTGGAAAGGAGGCTTGAATTTCATCACGGCCACCATGGGGCCTGCAGAGGAGAGGGTTTTGGCTGCTGCCCAGTGATCATAAGCCCCCACTGCCTTAAACACCACTGATCAGGTTCTCTCCTAGAAGTCCAGAGCCGGTGTGTGTGTGTGTGTGTGTGTGTGTGTGTGTGTGTGTGTGTTCGGTGGGGGTGGGGGCACGGCAGGCTGCTCCCCAGCACCACCTGGGATGAGTCACAGGTGACGCCCCAGCCCTGGAGCCTGGGCAGGCAGGAGCACACTGCCAACCCCACCAGTGGTTCTGAGCACGCTTGTCCACTTGGCCGCATTCCTAAGATGAGAAGGCCGGGGTGGGCTTGCTGAGGGGCCACAGGGCTGACCTGCCCTCCTGGGCAGGCCATTCCATCAACCTGACTTCTCAGGGGGGCCAGACACCCCCACGAGGCAAATCCTGGCAGGGAAACAGCAGTGGCCCTTCTGCCCCTCTCTCCCTCTTCCCACTGTGACACCAAGGACTGAGTCTGCCCTGGGCGCTCAGCCCCACCCACCTGATCCACCCCAAGTCACCAGTGACTCACCTGATCGCCTGAGCAATTGCTTTTATCTCCCCTGCTGCCTTGAAGCTCTTCCCCGTTGCTCCCACTGCACACATGGGGTGGCGTTTGGCACAGAGCGAGTGACAAGCAGTTGCAGATGGGCCTCGAGTACAGCAGGAACCACGGCTACAGCCAGGCCTACGCCGATGGTCTTGGTGCTCCGAGGCCTCCATAACCCCTCCTGCCCCACCCCCACTGCAAGGCGGGCCTGCAGGAAGTCCTGTCCTGGACATGATCCCCTTCACCGAATATCCTGGTGATTCTCTGGGTTCTGACAAGTGCTGTGGCACTTTGCAAGGTCCCAGAAGAGAGCAGTTACTTCAGATGAGCTTGAGCTGCTGTCTGCTGTCTGGAGGGCGGCGGGGGGGGGGGGGGTGGGGGGGTGCGGGGGGGAGTGTGTCTCAGGCCCTGTCCCCCTGCCTGTTGACCAGGGAGGCTATTTGCTGACCCCTGCCATGTTTCCTGTGGACCTTCTACAGGGAGCAGGGGGACCCCTTGACAGAGCCCCACGTGAGCCCCTTTTAGCCTTCTCACCACAGGCTTCTCCATGCACAACCAGTGAGGACCACGTGGACACACACAGCCTCTGATTGTTCCCAGCACACCTGTTCTCTCCCAGCTCAGCCCCGTCCTCTGTCAGGCCTGTGGTCTCTGCCAGTTGCCTTCCTCCTGTGATTTTTGCCTCAGGGCCCTATTTCTCCCTCTATCCAGCTTCTTTCTGCCCCTCCAAGCCTGCTGGGCTGGTTTGAGCCTGTCTGAATCCCAGGTTCACCTGCCTGGACAGGATATCAGTTCATTTCCAAGAAGCCCAAGGGCTGTACCTTATACTTACGGCTCCCCAGCCATTTGGGGATTCGTCTGTTTCTAACCCACAGGGCCTCACTGGAGGGCCCTGTGGCCTGCGTGCCCAAATCTGGCTCAGCCAAAACATCCTTACCTAGGAACTCCACCCAGCCATCAAAAAGCTGGGGGAACAAGGATTTACTGTATAGCACAAGGAGCTATATTCAATATCTCATAGTAACCTATAATGGGAAAAAGAGAGTAAAAGTGTGTGTGTGTGTGTGTGTATCTCACTTTGCTGTACATCTGAATCTAATACAATATTTAAAGCAACTGTATTTCAATCAAAAAAAGATTATTTCGTCCTTCTGTATAACACAGGGAACTCTGCTCCTGGATGGGAGGGGAGTTTGGGGGAGAATGGGTACATATGACTGAGTCCCCTCTGCTGTCCACCTGAAACTATCACTACATTGTTAATTGGCTATATACAAATATGAAATTAAAAGTAAAAAAAGAGAGAGAGATTACTTCGGGAAAAAAAAGCTGAGGGAAGAGAAAGTACATTTTCAAAGCACCCACTCTGAGCCAAGTCTCCTTCTGTGCCCTTCCAAATTTAAGATCTCAGAATCCCCTGTCTTTCCTAAACATTTAATGAATACCTCTTCGGTGTCAGGCTGATCTTTTTCACAACATTCTTGTAAACTATTATTTCCATTTGAGAGGTGAAGCGACTGAGGGTCAGAGAGGTTAAGGGACTTTCCATGGGTTACACAGCTAGTGAATCACTCCAAAGTCTGTGCTCATCTCACCCTGCCACATCCTATCCCAGTCATGGCCTTAAAAGACACACTCAAGGACAACAGGGGCTTCCCAGGTGGTGACAGTGGTAAAGAACCCGCTGACTGATGCAGGAGACACAGGTTCAATTCCTGGGTCGGCAAGAGCCCCTGCAGTAGGAAGTGGCAACCACTCCAATACTGGAAAGTCCCATGGGCAGAGGAGCCTGACAGGCTACAGTCCTTGGGTTGCAAAGAGCTGGACATGACTGATCATGCACGCACACAAGGACAATAAGGCAGAAACTGCAGCATTCTACCCACCGAAACAAGAGATGCAAATTCAAGTGCCTCTTGAAAGTCAAAGTTGCTCAGTCATGTCTGACTCTTTGCGACCCTGTGGACTATACAGTCCATGGAATTCTCCAGTGGGTTGCCTTTTCCTCCTCCAGGGAATCGTCTCAACCCAGGAATCGAACCCAGGTCTCCTGCATTGCAGGCGGATTCTTTGCCTGCTGAGCCACAAGGGAAGCCCAAGAATACTGGAGTGGGTAGCCTATCTCTTCTCCAGAGAATCTTCTAGACTCAGGAATTGAACTGGGGTCTCCTGCATTGCAGGTGGATTTGTTACCAACTGAGGTATGAGGGAAGCCCAAGTGCCTCTTGAACTCCAACAGAGCGTTTAGATGAGTGAAGTTGTCCAGGTGTAACACAAAAGGGATGAGCAGGGACGGTGGATGACTGGAGAAGTCACACTCACCCCAAGGGGGTAGGTGCTACTCAGTTCTAACCAAATGTTGCCAATGTGGGACTTTAGGTCAATGTGGCCAGCTCTTCTGATTTTTAAAGAAAAGTCTGGACATCTTAAATTTTAATGTGAAATCTGCAAAGGGTTTCTGCATGCTGGCTATATCAGGCTGACAATTTGACCCCCTAGAAGATGCTCCGTGAACTTTGGAAGGATTCCATTTCTATGAAACACCTGGTTTTTATTTTTTGCACTGCTTTGGGGCCCTCAAGATACCCCTCTATCTGGGGAGGGGAGGTTAGGGGTGAGGAGACATAAGTCACACGCATCCAAAAGGCAAGACACACTTAAGGAAAGACACAGGGGAATTCCATGGTTGTCCACTAGGTAAGACTCCATGCTTCCAGTGCAGGGGGTGAGGGTTCGATCCCTGGTCAGGGAACTAAGATCCCACACATGTAGAAAACTAACAAACAAACAAACAAACTAGGGCTTCCCTGGTGACTCAGTGGTAAAGAATTCATCTGCCAATGCAAGAGATTCAGGTTCCATACCTGATGCAAGAAGATCCCACATGCCACAGAGCAGCTAGGCCCATGTGCTGCAACTATTGAGCCTGTGCTCTTGAGCCCACGTGCTGCAAATACTGAAGCCCTCACACCTAGAACCTGTGCTCGGCAACAAGAGAAACCACTGCAACAAGAAGCCCAAAGCACCGCAAATAGAAGGTGGCCCCCACTTGCTGCTACTAGAGAAAACCACGTGCACCCACAGGGACCCAGCATGGCCCTAAATAAAATAAATGTTGTGTTCAGAAAAGACAAGACCCATGGTTATGTCACAGGGACCACTTGAAGGTCTGAACCCAAGAGTTGCCAACAGAATCTAGGTAACTTAGGCAGAAAGGAGGTTGTTGGAAAGATACCTACAAGCTTAGAGAACTGGTGAGTGAGACAGGTCTGAAAATTGGCAGAAACCCTGGGGAGCGGAACTGGATGACTGGAACCACAGCTAAGGATTTTGCCACAAAGAACCTTCTGCCTCCACGGGACACTGGCGGCCACCTGAAGTCCAGACCACCTCTCCTCCCGTGGAGCCTTCTGCCTGTGCTTCAAGAGATTCCATCCAAACAACCTGGCCTGGTGAGAACAAGTGTTTGATATTTTTGTTCCACACAAAATCTGATATCTGATCTACAAGGTGGATCCTCCAAACTACGGGAATGAGAGTCGGGACTAGAAAGACACACACACATACACACACAAACATAGACAGTCCAATCCATGGTCTAAGCTGGAAGGGGTCTTGAAGAGGCTCTCATCTTTCGGTTTCAGGATGGAGAAACTGAGGTCCAGAGCAGACCATGACTCGCTCAAGGCCACGGAGAGAGCCTGTGTTTAAGCGACACATTGAACCCAGGACTCCTGACTCAGGTTTTCTAACTGAGCTGTCAAGCGCTTCAGGACTCATGAGTAATGAGATACACATGAGGTGTGGCAGACAGGAAGCCCTCTTGATGGAGGAGGAAATGGAGAAAGGCTGAAGGACCTCTTCTTTACTTTTGGTCATGCCCCCTGTGGTGTGTGGGATCTTAGTTCCCTGACCAGGGATTGAATCCACGCACGGAAGTTCTCAGTCTTAACCACTGGATCACCAAGGAAGTCCAGGGGGGACCTCTTAAGATGGCTAAAACTGGGGTAGGCCGTAATAGAGAACTGTAAATAATAATATGACAGCCATTGCTTTGTTGGGGGCTTCCCAGGTGGTGGTAGTGGTAAAGAACCTGCCTGTCAACGCAGGAAACATAAGAGATGCGGGTCCGATCCCTGGGTTGGGAAGATCCCCTGGAGGCAGGCATGGCAGCCCATTCCAGTATTCTTGCCTGGAGAATGCCATGGAGAGAGGAGCCTGGTGGGCTACAGCCCATAGACTCGCAGAGAGTCGGACACAACTTCACATGCACTCACGCAAGCGTCACTCTTTCTACAGGGTAAGTTCTACAGAGACAGCAATGAGATCTCAGTCCCTGCTGTATCCCCAGCATCTACCGCAGGGTCTGGTACCCGGCAGGTCCTTCATCAATGTTTTTGGAATAAATATGTTACAGGGTATGTGTTGCCTATTATATAATAAGATGTCTTTTAAAAAATGAAAAACAGTTAGGGACTTCCCTGGTGGTCCAGTGGCTAAGACTCCAAGCTCCCAATGCAAGGGGGCCTGGTTTGATCCCTAATCAGGGAATTAGATCCCTCATGTTGCAACTAGAGATCCCACATGCCCCAGTGAAGATTGAGGACCCTGCATGCCACAACTAAGACCCGGCACAGCCAAATTAATAAATATTTTTTAAAAATGAAAACTGTTATTGGAAGTCACTGCGTACCACATCATGGGTTGAATGCTTTGTGTGCCGAGAAATCTCCCTGAAGCCTCGCAAATCCTCGTGATGCAGATGGTGAAACTGGGGTTCAGAGAGCCTGTTCCCCACCCCAGGTCACAGCTAGGACACAACAGAAGCAGGATTTGAGCTCAGCAAACACAAGAGTCTGGACTGATCCTGGAGGCCAGCTGGGGACAAGCCTGGGCTCAAGAAACCATGGAACAGAGGTGCGGTCCTGGAGCGGGCACACGCTCTTCTAACGCAGCGCTCTGTCATTTAAGAGCTGAGGCTTGGCCGGGCGGGGCCTGGAATTTACCTGGAGACTCTGAAGCCACGCGGAGGAGGCGGTGGCGTGGGGACTCCAGCAATTATCAGCACAGCCCGAGGCTAATCAGGGTACAACGTGCTGAGAAATGCTGAGAAGGCAGCTCAGAGCCTCACAGCCTCACCTCCCCCAGTCCATCCAGAGCCCCCAGAGGCCCAGAGAGGGCAAACTACTTGCAGAAGGACACACAACCGATAAGCCATTGAGTGTGTGTGTGTGTGTGTGTGTGCGCGCACGCGTGCTTAGTCGTGTCTGACTCTTTGCAACCCCGTGGACTGTAGCCTGCCAGGCTCCTCTGTCCATGGGATTCTCCAGGCAAGAATACTGGAGTGGGGTGCTATTTCCTACTGAAGATCTTCCTGACCCAGGGATCGAATCCACCATGTCTCTTGCATCTCCTGCCTTGGCAGGTGGGTTCTTTACCACTGGGTCCCCTTGGGAAGCCCAATGAGCCATCGAGGGGAGGTCTCAAAGTCTGAGTCCCAGGGCTGTGTTCTCTCCACTGCCCTGAGCCGCACACATTGGGAGCCGGTGACTCTGCTACAGGCTTCACAGTCACCCTGCTTCTGCTTTTCTCCTAATGATCGTGCGAAGGGAAGCAGGG